TTCCACTGGTATGATTACATAATCTTATAATAACAGTTGTGTGGTGGATTATTTATCTTTTTTTTTTTTTAAATACATGAACAGGAACCGGTTCCACAGGAGATTCATCTTCTTCAACGGCCAAACCAACAAGCTCGGCTCCATCCATCAACTTCGCCGGAGCTAGCTTTGCATCAGCTTTCGTGGCATTGGCAACAGTCTTCTTCTGATCTACTACTATTTTGCACTATGTCTTTATTCATTATTCTGTAGGTTCTTTTTATTTATGTTGAAATTTGTTTGGTTATTGATTATTATTATTATTTTTACGTACTCTGAAATTTCTAATAATAGTAATAATTTCCAGCATGTCTTATACCAACACTTTCTCTTAGCTAAATGTCCAAATCTAATTTCATCTCATTACGGTTCTTATTTTAGTTTATTTATGGTATACTTTATTTATGGTATACATGTAATGCAATTTACAAACATGTACATCACCACAAGTCAATATGAAAAATATGAATTAATGATTCTATGATGCTACTAGTTTCAAATTATCTATTTTGACGTATCCTGGTGTATAATGTACATATGTCAAGTATACAATATGTTTAAAATAGATATACATACACCTCGTGATGTTACTAGTTTCAAACTATGATGTTCTATGATGTTACTAGTTTCAAACTATTTATTTTGACATATCCTGGTGTATAATGTACATATATCAAGTATACAATATGTTTAAAATAGATATACACCTCGTTATAGTTTGATGGCTAACGTTTTTGGAAGCTAGCTTTTTAGCTACTGTCAAGATTTTGACGTTGCAACTCTCAGATAATGTAATAAGAAATTATTCCCTGTTTATATGTTGACGATAACTACTTGAGATCCCCTTTCTACTTTGATTATAAGTTTATAACTAATGTGTTTATATAATGTTATCCAAGTGTTTGTGACTGCTTTTTAAGATATAATTGAGTAGGAAATCTTGTGACAGTTCATCAAATGGATCCGATATAGTTTTTTATCTGTCAGATTGATGCAAACATATTAAAAAATGAGCAAGAATACAAAACAAGTAGAGTCTGAAGTCCAGGGCACTTTACAAATAAAATCATATAATTCGAACCACTGACAGCGACAAATGCATATACGCAAGTAAACATACAGCCGCATAAACATATACACATGCACATTAGGGTGTATACATGTATTCACCATATTAAGGCATACGTTAAGAGTGCTCAACAACAATTTTATACATACAAATTAGCCTAATCATTGCTACTAAATTGTTTGTATGTAATTTATTAATCAATTAGAAAACATTCATATTGAAAAATATAATATCGATCTACATTTGTAGATTTTTGTAAAGTAAATATATGTAGTCACATGAGTTATATTTTAACAACAATAATATAAAACGTTAATTAATAATCATATAAAAATGTCGCAACTAACAAACATACATACATGTATATATGATGTATCCAGACAGCCAATGAGCTGTATTTGTTATTACACTACTTTTGTTTCATGGTACCGACTTATGTAATCTTTGTTTTTGGCTTTTGAATTTCTAAAAACAGATGAACGAATCAATATTATAATATAAGTACAAATGTGAAGAAAAAGGAAACAGAAACAAGAGAAGCCATGTCTGATGATAAGTTAGGTAGCGTCGTGATTCGAGCTCAGCCCAATCCCCCAGCTCTTCCCAGTCACACCCATCCTTCATCCATGTGCTTTTTCTCTTACACGTAGTGTAAAATGAAAGAAAATCGTTGAGCCATAACTTTGATTTTATGATCTTTTAAATGTTCGAGTACAACATAAAAGAGGACAAGCTTACATTCATTTGAACGAAGGTTTACAAGTACGTCGTTCAAAAAAAGAACATTTAGTTCTAAATGACTTTTATCACGACAAAAAGTCACAAATAAATATACATTATATTTTGGGTGAATTAGGTGAATACCATGAAAGACAAAGATACCATAAAAGAGAGGGAAAAAAGTGGTAAGTGGGGAGGAGAGAGATAGAAAGAAATAGGGTATAGAACTAATTTTAGGGTTTTATATGTATAGAGGGTGCAAATACTCTATATTTTAGTAATTTCTAGTGTTTGGTAGAGCTAAAGATAGACAGTTAAGCTCGTCTTATAAGGGATGAATCTGATTAATTATATCGGTTTGACTTGATTATACGATAATTAATTAAGTAGCAGACACATATAAATATGAATTAATGAATTAAACTGAAACGAAAACCTTACTTTTTGTAATTTGATTACTATATCTATCGGATAAAGTCCCCAATAAAGTTAAGAAGCGACAACTATAAACTAGAAGAGAGAAAAAAGATGTACACAGTTGTGAGTTGTATACAACCAGCTGAAAAAATAATTAACACTTAATCACATCTTAATCCATAAATTAATACAACTATATTATATACACATAATTATAAAAGCCAGCCCGTTTCTGAGAAACTTCTCTCTATGTCTCTATGCGACCTTCTCTTTCTCTCGTTCTTAATCAAAATAATGGGAAACACATCTTCATGCGCACCACTGATCACATCATCAGGAGTAGTCAAAATCTTATCTCCATTCACCGGAACCCTCGACATCTTCTCAAAGCCCATCAAAACTTCAGATATAATCTCTCAAGACTCCGGTCAGTTTATCACCGACTCAACACTTCTCCAAATAGGCCACCGAGTCACCGCCGTATCTCCCCACGAGCTTTTGCGGCCGAGACGTCATCTATACCTTCTACTCCCGACAGACATGCTCTTCTCTGTCTTAACACAAGAAGAACTCGCTCTCATATCAGAAAAAGCGGCAGAGATACTCAATGAAAGCCGGTATAACCATTTGAAGAGAGTGTTCCCTGTTTGCATGTTTCCCGTGTCTGGAGACAGAAGAAGAAACTCATCTTCGAGTAATGAAGATGATCATCATGATCGTGATGGTGTAGAAATAAGAGATACTCTCGAAGAGAAGATGCTTTGCGAGTTTAACTATGGATCTTGGAGGCCTGGGTTGGAAACGATCGTGGAGAGCTAATTTTGATGATTTATTAAATACTTTATATAGTATTATTAATCATAGATGATTATTTTGTTGTTCTTCATTTTTGTTTCCCTGATTTTTGTTGTCCGAGATTTAGAGAAAAATTGAGGCTTATACATGAATATATTCACAATATATTGAATCTTACTTGGAATCATTAACTATACATTTGGAGTTATAGAGATTGACATGGGATAGAGAGCATAGAGCATGTATGCATCTCTATTAACAGGTGATTTAGTTTTCATCAAAAACAAAATCAGATTCCCCAACAAAAAGTATCTACTTTGAGATTACCTCACATGCAAGTAACTGATTTTGACTGGATACTGTTTCTTGTAGTATTAACCCGACAGCTATAGTGAGTCTGGATGTTTCTTCCATCGGATGAAAAAGGATCATAAAGGTCAACAAAGACGCTGGTTTCTGGTAAACCAGATTTTAGGTACAACTATTTTGGTACGTATATATATTTATATACATGTAAGTTTTAATTAATATAGGCTTGAGAATGTTATTGGAACCATACGCAGATACTCTGAATATAAAAGATTGCGCCAGCAGAACTAATAATTAAAGGAGGAATATTAGTAAGGACCCTGCATATTTTTTTTCGTCCTAGGCCAGAGTCTACACACCTACCTGAGTATTCATACTAGCAACCTTCTAGCTTTAAATAATCTGTGATCGTGCAGACAGAAAATTAAGTGTTCAATCAAATTCATAAATACTAATGCCAGGCTAAGGCCCATTAAAAATAAAATCTCATCGGTTGTATCCGTGTTTGGGCTTCTGGAAAGTCATCTTAAATTATGAGGGCCTTTTGAACAAAAACAAAAAAGTTGCGCCTAATAGCGTGTTTACGTCAGGGACGGAGTTTGTGGATGAGCGCACACACTCTTTTTAGTTTTTTTTTTCTCCTGTCCGAAAAAGCATAAACAGACAAAAAAAGATTGAGGAGCCCACTTGCATAGCTTCCCCATACGCTAATGAAGCGCGTGATTCGTATTCTCTTCCGTTTTTTCTTCTCCGTGTCTGTGCCGAGATTTCATTTTTTGGTTTGGTCGTTAACGAGTTGAATTTGTTTTTTTTTTTTTGGTAAAAGAGTTGAATTTGTTTCCCTCTAGATATCCAAGTTTGATTTTTGTTTGACGAACAAATTCGAAACAAAAAATCTAGAAGAACAACAATTTACATATGATGAATTTTGTATTTGAAGAGAATTCACACACACCTCATCTAACGTTGACATTATAAATGGAATGTTCTGTAGACGTTTGTATCAATTTGTTTGATTTTAAATTCCTACTAGATTTTGACCCGCCCTTTTCAAGGGCGGAACAATATTTTTCATTTTATTTTTAAAAATGATATTTATTTGTATTTATGTTATGATTTTATTTGTAGTTAGATGTTTTCGTTTTGACAATATATGATAAACACAATACATGTCTTCATAATAATGGTTTGAGATTTGATTATTTGATTTTTCTCTAACGTTGACATTATAAATGGAATGTTCTGTAGACGTTTGTATCAATTTGTTTGATTTTAAATTCCTATTTACATAAAACAGACCTGAATTACTCATGTTTTGTTTGTAACTAACAAATTAAGTGTTTTGTTTGTTATAGAATGCTGAATTTTGTTAAAAACCTGACTCCATATAGCAGAGAGAGATGTCCCACTAACAAAACAACAAATCTCAAAATAGAGAAAGAAAACAGTAAAACTTAGATTCAGTTTAACCGAGAGAAATCAAATTCACTATTAACCAGGAAAACCAAGTTAATAGCCAGCCAAATTCTTATAATATTCGAATAAAAATGAAGATATAGTTTATATATAAAACAAAAAGCGCGTGAGAGGTTTTTTTCCAACATCTCGTGTGATTTTTCCATATAAAGACAGTTCCAAAACCTAAAAATCTCAACGAAATCACATCTCTCTCTCTCTTCCTTTCTTGTTACTTATCCATTTTCTCTCTCTCTCTCTCAGACTTCCTTAAATCGATTCTCTCGAATCCAAGAACAGAGCCCTTTTTATTCTAACCATCTCTCCTTGTTCCGAATTCGTGGGACTAAAAAAAATGACAGGCTTCTCTGTGTCTCTAATTGTATCAAACTTATCAAACGTCGCCTCGTACCTATCTCCAATCTTCGAGACCATCCCGTCTAAAGTTGTTCCAGCGCAGATCGAGAAGGTTGTCTCTCTTGTCTCCCGCACCGGTAGAGATTTACAGCGTTACGATAATTCAGGATATCGTCAAGTCGTCGGGTACGTCAACACGTGTTGAAAAGTTTCCACAAATGTTCATTTCGGAATCTCATATTTTTTTCCAAATATTTGCAGATGTGTACCGTACAGATACAAGAAACAACAAGGAAATGGAATTGAGACAAAAGAGATTGAACTTTTACTTATAAGTGCTCAAAAGGGCAAAGGAATGTTATTCCCAAAAGGAGGTTGGGAGATTGATGAGTCAATGGAGGAAGCAGCATTGAGAGAGACGATAGAGGAAGCTGGTGTGACGGGAGAGCTCGAGGAAAAGCTTGGGAAATGGCAATACAAGAGTAAAAGACAGAGTGTGATTCATGAAGGTTACATGTTTGCGTTGCTTGTTGACCAAGAATATGAGCGGTGGCCTGAAGCGGAGACTAGAGAAAGGAGATGGGTTGGTTTGGATGAAGCGAGAGAGGTGTGTCATAGTTGGTGGATGAGAGAAGCTCTTGAAGCATTTGTTAACCTGAAATGTAATGTCGTGGAGAAGGTTGTGATTGAAGGTAATGATGTTTAGGGTTTGGTGGAAACAGAGCTTTTTAGAGTTAGAAACCTGACCATAGGGATCAGAAGAAGAAGCTTCGTGGGGGGATATTTATTTGGTCTCTTTGAGAGTTGTGGAAAAGTTTTGATTGTTTGAAGATGAGATGTCAACTATATACTATTTCTAATTTATTCTTTTTTTTGTATTATATGATTCATTCATTCTTTGATTAATTGTGAATAAATTGCTAGACAGGTCTCTTAATTAAATAAAACGTTTTACCAAACTCATACAACATGTTTAGCTTCATCATCACACAAACGTCTAGAGTTTTTGTTATCGATCACAAGACTTCATGACCATCGTCTCTAGTCTCTAGAGTGAACCCACCACAATAGATTACTGAGAGAGTTGCCATCATCGAACTCACGTAATCCTCGAATCATCTCTAACGCTTCATATTTGTCGTATACACTTTCCAATGCATACACAAACCCTTTCCAGCCATCTTTAACGCCGTCTCTCTTCAACGCAGGCAAAGTCCACTTCACTAGCTGCTTCACGAATTTCACATCGGAGAAGAGGATTTCTGAAACCGGAATCAACGGTAATAACTGTTGACCAAGCCGACACTCTTTCCACTCCCTATCCCCGAACCATAGGCTACTGTCTCTCTTCGTAGACCATAATACCCCAACCAAACGATTCTTGGCCGTGAAATCTTTTGGGTATATAGAGTCATTTTCTTTCACCTGCACACCGAACAGCAGTCAATTTTGATTACTAAGCTACTATTCCAGCAATTCGGTTTGAACCTGGTTATCAATGTATCTTATGTTTCCGGTTTTTAGGATATGGTTTAGTCGAAACCAAAACCGAACCACAAATCTAACAATTGTAACCAAGTTACATATCCAAACAGATCATATAACTAAATTCAAACCTAAAAACAATAGAAAATTAGAAAATGACTGGTAAAATTTTCAATTTTAATTAAAAAGTAGAAACTCAACTAATCATTCCCCTATAAATATAAGTACTTTAATGTACTTTTCTGTCACATAAGATATTCAATTTTCATTTTAGTTCTAAACCAAGAAAACCGGACTAAAATCTAAGACACAACCCAATTTAGTTTCTAAATACAGTTAGTCCGGTTTATTCGAAGTACACGGTTAGAAAACCGTTTACCTGCCACCACATTTTGGAAGCGTGGATCTCAAGCGACATAATCGTCGAACCCACCGCAACAAGATCCACGTCACCATAAGCCAAACCCAACAAAGCAGCTGAGTAATAAGCGTTCACAGCCTCGCTCGGCCCCACCTGATTCCTCCCGTCATCAAAAACCGTCAACCCACCCGCCCAAGAATGCAGTTTATAAAAATCAAAACACCTCAAACGCGGGAAAACATAATCAAAACCATCACATCTCTTCTTCCTCCTCCCCAACGTCATGTAATCCGCCAAAAGAGTGTAAGCATGAGATCTATATCTCATCCCCCACAAAGGATCGATCTTAACAAGCACAGAAATCGCGTAGATGAAATAACCTAGATGATAATGGTGGTTATTGTAAATCCCGTAACCGTTATCTTCTCGTGCATTTTTAGCTCCTTGCGTGGTGATCAAGCCTCCCCATTTAGAATCGTACACAAACGAGTTTGGTTTAAAAGTACCGTCTAGCCACGGCTCTATCATGTCTTTTAGGTATTCACTGATAGCTGGAATCACGTGGAGATAGGAGACTTCTTCAGCGATCAGAGCCAACCTCGCTGCTCTCGCTATCACTTTCCCGTAGTGGTAAGTCCAATCCGAGACAGGAGACGAAGAGTTTAATGCGATAACGTCTTCGATGAGAGCTGAGATGATCTCATCGCGTGAGGAATCTTGTTTCACTCCTTTGAGTGAGTGCCACGTTATTGGAACAGAGTCCGGTTTAAGAATCCATGAATCTCCGATAACGCCGGTTAAGTCTCCATCGATGCTTCTGTATTTGATGTTTTTCATTACTGTGACTGTTTCGTTGTCTTTTGTTAGGAGCTTGAGGTGAAGAGGATGCGCGAGCATTAGGAGGTCTCCGTGGCCTCTCTTCTCCCATTTATACTCTAAGGTGAATGGCTTTGTGAAATCCGCGTGGCCTGAAACTGGGTAAGAGCGGCTGAACCGGTCGAGAACCGGTTCGAAATCTGGTTTGGAGTTAGGTAAGACAGCGATTCGGATTAAACCGGAAAACTCGCCAGGAGAACGGATCGAGGAGTTGTCGTGTTTGGTTAGGTTAATAGGGGAAGAGGCGTAGATCAACCAAGTTTGGTTGTTGTTGAGCTTTGCTGTGTACTTTGTAGATAAGCTGTTTCCGGAAAAGGACACGAACTCGTGGCTTGTTGAGATTGTAAAGGAGTTACATGAGACAGTGAATGTGATAAAAGGGCTTCCTCTGACGAGGAAGAATCTGAGATTAGAGGAAGGGAAATCAAGATTCACGCCAAGATCGCTATACGAAGAGATGTGATGAGTTTGGTGGACGTGTGAACCGGAGATGACGATGTCTGATTTGAAAAGTTGGTAAAAGAAGTCAGAGTTTTGAAACAGAGTTGGGTAGGAGATGGAGAGTGAGGATTTCCCCGGTTTGATGAGGTAAGGGTGAAAGTACTCAGGGGTGTCGCCTTTGCCGAGAGTGAAGTTTTGGAAAAATGAATTAGTAGGGAGAGGGTTTGTTGAGAGGAGATGGTTGCTGAAGAAACGTGACGGGTCCGGTAAAACAGAGGATTCGCATTTGGGGAAGAGGAAGGGAGACTCGTTTTCTGGTCTCGAGTAAGCCATTACTTGAACCGGTTCTTTGTTTCGTTTACACTAGCTAGTAGTTTTCGAATACAGTGTCTCTGCGACTCCGTCTTGGTTGTTTTTAAAAAGAGAATAGAAGATGTATCGTCGACTCAAAATGGGAATCTGTAGCTACATTGGTAGGAGAAGAAGCGCAATGATTTTTTTTTATTTCTCCGAAACGCATACTACTTTTCATGCAAGATGCCACGTGGCATTTGATCTCCCTCCCAAGAAATAACATAATCTTACACAAAATTTGAATACTAATGGGCCCAGAATGTTAGAAGTTGGGCTTGTCCGAAGTTTCAGTTTGCAGAAGTCCCTTCTTGTTTTGTCCTTGGCTAAAAAGTTGAGTTCACTCTTTTCTAATCCTGAGTCAGACAGTAATTCATGAAACGATAAGATTGAAACAGAGTTACAATTAGGTGGTTGAACAGATACACTTGTTTGATGAAGAAAAAAAAATCATCTGTCTTCTTAATTTCAGACAGTGGAAGAAACTTCATTACAAGTAATACATATCCGTATGAATTTTCATTTGATGATTCATCCGAGTTTTGCTCTCCCAACAATGGTTGAACAATGTCCTTGACTCATCGAAATCAATCTAAAACTGTGCCAACTTTACAAGAGGGCCGTGTACTTCCGCTACGAGCATACACGTGCTCTTCTTCTGCTACCCTCTTCTTCTGAAGCTACCAATGAGAAAGACGATGTCACTTCTCTTTCTGATAAGCATCTCTTGTATGGTCTGAACCCATTCGCACATGGATAACAGTGTTCTTGTTTTTCTAACGAGGTTAGCCGTGCTTCTGCACTCTTCTCCAAGTTCTCTGAAACTTCTGTGACCGAGCCAAACGCACTAGAACCGGTACAAGAGGTTTCCCATATCCCTAGAGATAAAACTGTGTCGACGTGCTTAGAATCTTGACCCGTCATCGATTTATGATCAACACCTTCCTCTCTGGACGAAGATGTTTTCTTAGATCCTTCCGCCACTTGTACAATCTTCCCAAAGAGCATAATACTCGAGGTGAGTTTTGTTGAACCGGTTACAACATCAGCCTCTTTAAAAGATTGCTTAGATGTTGCGTAATCATTCTTCTTATCAATGGACTGTATGTCACTGGTACACGAGTTAGGAGATGAGCATCGATTGACCTGATCATCTGAACCAAATGGTGATAACACAGAAGTTGGAGACTTTGTTCCTTTCTCCATAGCTGAGGAAGGACACTGACAACATGGAGCAGGTGACTTCCGAGGATAAGGATGTGTTGGTTTCCTCTTTGGACGAGGAGGCGGGATCACAACCGTTTTAACCGAGTTGTCAGCTTCACGAGCCACCTGCAAAAGGATCAGACAAAAACTGTCAGATTACAGAACCAACTAGAGTGTGATGTTTGAGAGCATATATATATATATAAACAAGACCTTGGAGAAAAACTTTTGAGCATGGCTTCTGATCTGAACAGCTGTTTTAGTACCTATATGTTCTACACCAAAAAAATCAAGACTCAAATCAGAACTAAATCAACCTAGAAAAGTTTTGTGTTCTGTCAAAGCAGCAAAACCAATATAACTAAGTACCTTGGATTTGTCGCCAAGCACGACCATAAAGCTCGATAGCTTCAAGGAACCTATCATGCTCTGCCTCACTCCACTTCTCTCTCTGCTTAGATACTGTGTACGGCTTCCTAACCTTCAAGAACAACACACATAAAGTTCAGACAATTCAAAAAAAAAAAAAAAAAAACCTTTCTCCCACGATGGAACTTGTCTTAACAACGCTGATACCTTAGCAGCGTTTGGGATCCAATCACTGCTTGTTTCATGATTAGTTCCTTCATTTGAATTGCAACTTCCATTCTCTACATTACTACTTACATCCTCACTTAGATCCTACGGTTCAAAACAAAAACAATGAACTAAATGGCTTATATTCCTACTTAAAAAATTCGATAAGCTTCACTAACACATCTTTAGTTAATGAAAATGTTTTCCAAAGAAGAAACTAATTACCGGAGCAGCCATGTAACAGTATCTGATAAGCTTTCTTCAGATCTATGAACAGTGAATAAATAAAAGTATGAATAATTCTGCTTTTTTTTCCCCGGGAAATCAAACTCAAGATTATCTCCAAGAAAATAAAGCAAAAAAAAAAAAATATTGTTGAGAAGAGGAGATAGGAAGGAGACAGTGAGGAGAACATACTAGAAACAGCAAGTGCTATTATAGCCGTGCTGTGCCACGTCAGATGCAAGTTTCTATATTTATTTTAATGTCATGGAAATTTCGAGAAGGTGATACAGATAATCTTGTGGCTGTGAGCTAACCTAACTTAACCATCACGCTCGCTTCTTCGGCGGTGTACATCACGCGATCCCTCTACAAAGATCCAATCTCTGGATAAAGTGGGGCGACGTTGGAATTTATGAAAAAGATAATCAGTGTTTTGTAATTATTGTCTAGATATTTATTTTTTTAGTTTTTTGTATTTTCATCTACGTCTCTGTCTTCCACAAGCTTTCGTGACATTAATCTTTAACCTTGGGGTTAAAAAGAAACAAGTAAAGTAATTCTCTGTAAAGACTTCCTAAAGTAACCAGATGATTAAAATTTAGGATACTGAAAATTCAAAAGTTCACAGATGAAAATTGTAAAAAAATGGTTGGGATAAATGGGCAAATCAGCGACAAGATATGGTGTCGGATGTGACAACAAGATCTCTATTAATCAATCACAGAGGCTATTGGAGCCACATTTTTGATACGGCCAGATCAGCCCATCCCTCTTTTTTATTTATTTATTATATGTTTCTCTGTTTCATATTATTTTAATATTTACCTTAAGAAAAATGGAATCGGATCCAACTTAGATATTTTCCTTCATTTATGAGAAATAGACGATTTGTTACACTCAGTTTAGTTACATATAAACATTTCAAGTCCTAAAGTTCCTTCTCTGTTACGCAAGAAAACCATTACCACATCTACACTTCATATTTCCTAATCTCGTTATTTGTTGTTATTTGTTTACAAGGACGTTTTAAGGTTAGAGTGTTGATGATTCAACATTTAAGGCAGTTTGAAAAGAAAAGTTATCAGATTAATATCTCTCTGATTCACCAGTATCGAAACCTAGTACAAGATTAGTTTCTCACACTAATCAGTCCCTGTCCTGACTCTGTACTATCAGCTCATAAAGGTTAACTAAACCGGACAATAGTACTCACAGCTTACCAAATACATTGTCTGCTGGTGACAAACGACAGGTTTGTTGTGAGGACTCGGGTTTACAATGGTGTGTTCTTGTTCAACCCCTAGGCATTGGAGTATGAGTTCATCTCTGGTGTGAACTGAACTGCCATAAGAGGAGACTGAGTCTTCATCCGCATCTCTTTTGTAACTGTACTTTATTACTAGAGTGTGGTTTGTCAGATTCATGCAAAGATTATTTCATAGAACCTTATGATAAACAATTGCTGATCTCCTTAAAATTCTTTACCTATTTTGCGTTCAGTGGTATAATAGCATTAGTAGGAAAAAAAATAGCAATAGTTAAAGTTCTACTATTATTCTTGAAGAAACGTTTTAACTGCCAAATGTGATAAGGAATACAGATCAAAATGATCAGAGAACAGAATCCTGTCTGTTGTTGTGTGCTTTACAAATCACAAACACAAAATGCCTTCATAGATGAAGAAGATTAGAGATGTTGTCCCAACCAATGTTCCACCTCTTATCTGAAGGCATGGCGAAGTTGAGCTCAAACATCTCCTTAGAGATGTTACCACTTTCACAGAACCCAACAAGCTTCGCTACTATCTCTGCACTCTCTTGCACGTGTCTTGAGTCGTAAGGATCAGTCCATAGCTTGTTCACGAACTGTAGCTTCCTCTGTTTCCCTTCTAGTGGCACGTCCCATTTCATGTACAACTCCTCTCTCTCCTCAGGCGTCAGTCTCGAATTGATCCTTCTCGCCAAAAACTCCCTCTCACGTCTCAGTGCTCTTATACTGCGCAAACAACACATTGAATAAAACATTAGCTTTTTGTCTGAAGTGACTAATGTAAGAGATTCACTGAAATGTGTGTGTGTGTACCTTGATGATAGAGATACAACTGCAGTTTCATCTCCGTTTCGAGATGGAGTTCCGTTACCTATTCTAGCTGGAGTTGCATTACCTACTTCTGTTAGGCGTTTTTCTAACCAAGTTAACCGTCTTAGCTCAACTTCCATGTAGATTTGGTCTGCCTGATCACCTTTGAACAGTAGATAGAATTGTGTCCTGTGGATGATGGAAACATGGCAGACATGCCAAAGCTCTATGATCTGTTGTCTTTCCTCTATGAATGTTATATGCCACGCTACTTGACTCTGCTCTTCATTTTCCTCTATGGTCTGCTCCTCGTCCTCTACGCTGTATCCAGCTCCTTCATTTTCCAACTCAAGCACCTGACAAACGAGAAGTTGTTTCTGGTACTGCAGTTTAGCTACACGTTCTTTGAGTTCGGTGACGTATGCTCTTATGCTTCTCACGTTCTCCTCCGCTGCGTTTTGGAACATTTGCTGCATTTTCTTCATGTTCACTGAGCTTGATCTTCTGTACCCTGGAGTGCTTTCTCTTGACGACACATCTCCGCTTTCTTCTCCTTTCTGTGGAGTCTCTTGTGGTGTCGTTGCAGAACTGTTGTTCTCTTGAGGATCTTTGTTCTCAGCATCACAGTCCAAGACTTGCTTAGAAGCTGAAAGAGGAGAGCATGGAGATTTCAAGAAACTCTGGCGGTTGGATGCGCTGCTCGGCGTCAATGGAAGCTTCTTCTTCTTTGAGTGATGATGATTCTTTGTCTTTGGGGTTTCATCTCCAGCATTGATAGTGCTTGTAGTAAGTGACATCACCAGCTTATCTATTGACTTCTGAACACTCTCAAGTTGCTCCTCTAGATTCGCTATGGTGCTTCCTTGTGAATGGAGCCTTGTTATCTCTTCCTTGAGGTTGGCACTTACACTCTTGTTAGGAGCTATGACGTCTCCATCTTTAAGAACTGTGGATGATCTCACAGTACGCATTCCCCTTATCTCTTCTTGAAGCTTAGCGATTGTCTGAGCTGCATCTTGGTTTCCTAGTCTATGGCAAGCTACTTCCTTCTGTAGTACTTCAAGAGCTTTTGTTGCTTCTTCACCAAGCTGTTCTTGAAGGTGTTCAAGTTTTCGGATCTCATGCATCAGTGTGAATGGAGTTGTTGATGATTGGCGTATCATAGATTGACGTATACTTGTCTTTCTTGCTCTCTCATTCCGGTTTAGTGTTTTGTTCTCAGCGCTAGGCGTCAGGGCAACAGAATAGGAAAGACACTTTCTGACCGGTGGGTCTGGTGAATCAAAAGGATTTAAGCCCTGAGATACAGACAAAAGTTTAAAGTTCAGCTAGAGTCTGTGAGTATATATAGAAACAGTAGAGAAAGAGGTGGAGTTAGGGACCTTATTTTGTTGTTGTTCCACTTGAAGCTTTTGGCGCAACTCTTCTAGTTGGATTTGTGCAGCATCTCTTTGTCTCCTTAGCTCTTCAATTTCCATTTCCATCTAAAAAAGTCATGAAACATACATACTAAGCATCAAACCTTTGGTTCATTATATAATCTTTGCGGTTTTGACAAAACTGAAGTGAAAAGAAACCTGTTGGATCTTAAAATCCTTTTCTGTTGATGGACCAGGTGTGCGACGCTCTGCCTCCAATCTAGCCACTTCTTTCTGAAGATGTTTCACTAGTTGCTTATCAGAGACAACCTGTAGTAGTTACAAGACCACCAAGTAAATATTTTGTTTGTTTTCATCCAAGGTAGAGCATAAGCATGGAACAAAGATCATTACCATATTCACTTGAGCATTGTTAGTTACTTCCTTGGCTCGGTTGGCGAAGTATAGAGTATTTCTTGACTGTTCAGCATGAGTCGAAGCTGGACTCAACGTACATATAATGGCTGTTCGAGCATTTCCACCGAGTGAATGCTGTAATATCCGAGTGAGCTTGGAGTCTCGGTAGGGTATGTGGCCGCTTTTCTTCCCCCCACTATGAAGAGTACACAAATTCAGATGAAATAAATATTTTACTTGACAAGAGTTCGTCACTCTAAGCATATATGTAAGAACCTTACCTTAGTTTCCTTATGACAGTTGTAAGAGTCATTAGACTTAAATTAATATGGCAACCTTCCCTGAGTCTCGTTCCATCTGCCTGAGACTGTGATGCTCTTTCACTTCCTGCTAAGTCCACAAAGTTCTGCAATGCATTCACACACTCACTCTAATTAAATCCAGAAAATTCTAGCTAAATATTCTGCAAACTCAACAGAGAAGGGATATATTTTTTACCAAACTAGCCATGTATGACCTCACACAATCTGAATTTTCACGGTGTGTACTTTGTATCGTCTGTTTTGCCATCAAGAACTTGTAATCAGCATGTTGTAGGTGCTGTGATTTTAGTTTTAGTGAAATAATGAATTAAGAACGTTACCAGTCTGATTATTTGGTGTGACCGTGAGCTCGTATCATTCAAAGCAGTTTCTCCAACTTGTCTTTGAGCTATCAAAAAGGAAATACCAGTCAGAAATGTTGAACATAAATAAACTTTGAGGTGATAATTACAAGAAACCAAATATGATGCATACCTTCACAAATGCTAATCAGATGCCTCAAGTGTTTATCGTTATTAGCTGTTTCTTCTACCAGTTTTTCAACCACAGTCCCTTTCTGCAATGTCAGATCATTAGTCTTTTTAGATCAATGGAAGTGCACATTCAATAAGGGCCACAATATCAACAAGAAAATGATATCCTTTGAATGTAAATAAGTGATACCTCAGGGTCATCAAGGAGTTTAAGGGCACGTCCTGAATCTGAATTCAGCAGATCCCTAACATTTTCATTATATATCTCCAAACCAGAGATCTTGATAGTAAAATCTCTTTCAGGGGTCTATAAACAAAACAAAAAAGCAACTAATTAAAAGATCTGCACTGAAATATAAAACATTGATTTGGAACTCTGATCATATCAAAACAAAGCTTACATTAATTATGTGATTGTAAATATCATTGACAGCTTTCTCCGTTACTCCTCTCATGGTAAATGTCTTTCCACTGCTCGTTTGTCCATACGCAAATATTGTTGCTGAAACAATAAAACTGATTTAGTCATCTATGATCAATCCAAGTTATAGCCACAGA